ATTCTACAATTCTACAATTCACTTAGCAGACGCTTTTATCCAGAGAGACGTACATCAGAGAGTAAGTACAACACAAGCAAGGATCTAGAAAAAAGAGAACAATGTCAGTAAGAGCAAACGATCAGCTTTGAGTCCGATTGGACACACAGGTGCTGACAGGAAGTGATCACAAAGCACAACATTGAGGGCAGTTCTTGAGAGCTCAGTAGAATGAGAGAATCAGTATAGAAACCATCTTACAAGTCATCGTTATCAAACAAAAACCATCGTCACAACCATCATCAGGTCAGCTACACGCCTTATTGTGAATAACTCTTATCCTTCATCAAATCAAAACTGATGAGTCATCAAAACATTCACCCCCTGTACAGTGTGTGTCGATCGAGACATGAGCTAATCAGACCTTTTAGCTTTTTTGAACCAGGCTGTAAACATGTTAATCTCTGCTGTAAAAACAGGCTTTTTAGAATGGGTGTGTATGTGACTTCCTGTGCTTCTGCAGCCGGCCTCTAGTGGACACTTGAGGAACTGCAGGATTTTACACTTTAGCATCAGCTTCGTTTTTCAACACCGGAGGTTGCTGCTTGGTCTGATAACATCAGAGACAAAAAGTGTTGGTTGCTTTTTCAGATTGCGGCTCTGGCAGATCAACTTTAAAACGTAACATCATAAAGGACACTTGATGACCGCTTGAGGTGTAGGCGGTGTTAGTAAGAGGGGGGACGGGACGCACTACCTCGACAAACGACCTCCGTCAGTTATCAAACTTATTTATTCCTCACTACCTGGCCCACTGTCTGTCTTTGTCTCAATAAATGATCCATTGTCGACCAGCTCTCTCACTTACATCATACTTTAATGTTCCTCTCGCTTGCAGTTCGTCTCTCGTAGTGTCTTAACTTTTCTGCTTACTCACTGTCTTCACACTCCGCTTGTTTTTTTAAAATAAAAGGTCTGTTGGGCTGACTGTCTCTCCAGACTGTCTTAATCACGTCTCTCATTTTCTTGTTTTAATTATGAATGCAGACAAAACGAGTGATCACACACACACACACACACACACACACACACACACACACACACACACACACACACACACACACACACACACAGACACACACACACACACGCGCGAAGGTTTCTTTAGAGGTCTGTGTTGTTTTAGACGAGGGGAAATGTTCTTTCATCCAAAACAGCCAAGAAAAAAAATTCCCCAGTTTAAAGGCTGCAGCGCTGGATAAGCCTATTACAGTGAGTGTGAGTTTGTGTGTGTGAGTGTGTGTGTGTGTGTGTGTGTGTGTGTGTGTGTGTGTGTGTGCATTCACATTCACACGCCCGCACACAGAAAGTAAAGCTTGTGTGACTGATAGGGTTTCCTATAATGCAGCAGATCAGACTGCGTCGCTGTTCTGGCTCTGAGAGTGTGTGTGTGTGTGTGTGTGTGTGTGTGTGTGTGTGTGTGTGTGTGTGTGTGTGTGTGTGTGTGTGTGTGTGTGTGTGTGTGTGTGTGTGTGTGACTTGCCGGTGCCTTTTTCAGTTTATTGTTTGATTCTCCCCTTTACATCTTTCCTAACATTTATATTTCTATTCTCCTTGCTTCTTTATTTTGTAGATTCTTTCCCTCCTTCCTTCATTCCTTCTATCTTTCCTTCCATCCTTCCTTCCTTTATTCTTCCCTCATTCCCTTCCTTCTTTCCTCTCTTTCTTTCCTTCCCTGTTATAATTTTTCCTGTCTGTATCCTTCCTCCTTTTCTGTCTCATCTCTAATCCCTTGCTCCCTTTTCCTCCTCCTGTCTGCCTCTTCTTCATCCTCCCCTTTCACATCTCTCTTTTTTTCTCCGCCTGACATCACAACTCTTTGCCGCTCCGTACCCCTCCTCTCCCCTTCCCCCCCACCTCATTATTCGGTATAATCGGTTGTCTAGACAGAAGACTCCCCACACACACATCACACCTGAGAGAGATGGAGGGATGAGGAGACAAAGGAAGAATGAGACAAAACAGAGAGAGGGAGAAAAGAGGTAATAAAATAATTTCTCCGCCTTAACTCCTTGAAGTGATGTGAAAGAAAATCTGTCTGAGACTTGAAACATGCAATCTGATTGGCCAGGAGAGAGACAGGGGGGGGGGGGGGGGCATGGAGGCCCTCGGAGAAACTGCAGCTCGACATTATGACAAACATTAATTCGCTTTTTTCAGGACAGTCTAGACAGGTTGATTTTTTGCATTGAGTGTGTTTGTGTGTCCTTGTTCTTCTATCTGAACGGTACAGAAGCGTATTGCATTCATGTGGGGAATTTTTTTTTTGCGTGGTTTCTTGTTATTACGAGATCTTTATGTCGTAATAACGAGAAAAGATCTCGTTATTACGACATAAAGATTTCGTTATTACGACATAAAAATCTCGTTATTACGAGAAAAGACACACATTACAAAGACTAAAAGATACTAGAGGGTTAATGAAGTTTGCATTGTGGCAGGCAGAGGAGGGTGGAAGATCAATGGGAAACGATGACCAGGGTTATTGATTTGATTGTGTTTTATTTTCATCTCGGTTTAAGGCATTGGGAAATATTATCATCTTTGAGTAATACAGATGGTATTCTCATACCGACTTAGCGCAGGCATCTGAAGGCGTTAAGGTTGTTCAGACGGAAAGCAAAGCACACTCTGACCTACTTGACACAGCGTCATTCTTCCAGGATCAGTTAAATAGATATGGTATGCTTGACTGATATAAAGTCATGCATCTGAATTGCATTCAAGCTGGCTATGTGGTGTCTCAAGATACGCTTAGGCATTTACTGAAAATACTTTAACCCCATGAAAAACAACTGCGGCGCCAGAATCGCCTGCTACGGTGTTTATACTGAAATGTTGTAATGAGCTGCCACTGGTGTATTGTACACTCCCATAAACAAACCCACGCCTCCTCATCGCCACCCTAATGCTTTTCTCTCTTTATCTCGTTATAACGAGATCTTTATCTCGTAATAACGAGATAAAGATCTCGTTATAACAAGGAACCAGGCAAAATAAAAAATTCTCCACATGAATGCAATACGCTTCCATAGAACGGGGACCTTTATCGAAGGTGACACATATCCTGAAATCTATTTTTATTCAAATATACTTACTTAAAGATTAAAATACAGCACACAAGCATTGGATAAAGCGTTGCATCACACACCCGCTGGCTGTCCACACTGTATCTATTAAATATTTTATTCTTAACTCTGAAAATGTCAGTTTCCCCTTTTAAACATTCTAACATGTGGTGCTTTTATTTTGAAGGTGGAAGAACAGAGGTGTGGTGTTTTGTATTGACACAAGATACGCAAGATTACTTCGTCCCAGTGACGTGTTTTTTTCTGCGCGCTAGCGTCTTTTTAAAAATAGTTTTTAATGAGGAGAGGGTGTTCCCACCAGCAGGAAGCAGCCAACTGGAGAAAAAGCGCAGCACCCAGCATCTTTTTTTCCAAGCGCGCTGCCCTTTGTGTGGCCGCTCAGAGTGCTAAAGTTGACAAGACAATCTTTCAGGCGCCGTTGACATCACTGGTGCGCTTTTCCAAACGTATGACATTCACCTTATTTTAAACCCCATCCGGATCATGTCTTGTACCCAATTCCTCCTCGCTCCGTGTCAGTGCCCATCTGTAACACCTCTTCTTCTTCTACTACTTTATAAAAGTATCATCCAACCCATCCTCCTCTACTGCTCACCCTGTTTCTTCAACATGCTCCTGAACTGGAATAAACTCACCCGCATCACACATACTGCCTCAAAAACCTTTGGTAGCGTAGTGGTTGGTGCGGACGCCCCATGTACAGAGGCTATAGTCCTGCAAGCGGGTGGCCCAGGTTTGAATCCGACTTGTGGCTCCTTACCACTTGTTATTCCCCAACTCTCTCTCTCATCCTGACTTTATTCACTTTCGTATCTCTACAATAAAGGCACCATAATCTGTGCCCACCCAGAACCTCTCAGACCTCATCTACAATCCTCTGACACACAGACCACTCACCCAGCCCAGGACCCCACTCATCCTTTCAATCCACTCTTTTCTTTCCTACCATCAGGGCAGAGATTCAGGACTCTTACCTGGAAAAGGCCATGAGTGTTTAGTTATGTATGTATGGATCAATGTTCCAGCTGCGTAAGATGTGACTACAAATGTCCACCGGGGGGACAATAAAGTATTGTATAAGAATTAGTGTTGTAGTACTTGAGATTGGTTTTGGTCTCAACACCGGACTCTGGAATTTTATTCCAGACCGCTCAAGACTACCACTGAGTGGCAGTTTTTTTATGTTCATATAACTAGTTTAATCTTTTCTCCCGGTTACGGCCGCAACCTTCCCAGTGTTATGGTCTAAATGAGTGACACGGCCCCTGCACACAAGATAATGGTCTTTCATTGATATTTATGATCCTGGTGTTGACTCGTCCTCGAGCCCTAAATGCATTGCCTCTGTCTCGCATTTAAGGATATGACAGACCTCTTTAAAAGGTCGACACATTTGAGGGGGTGCAATATATATATATATATATATATATATATATATATATATATATATATATATATATATATATATATATATATTTTTTTTTTTTTTTTTTTCAAAGGTCTTTTAATTGAAAGATAATAACAGATTTTTAACAGATATAAAGAAAGAAAATAAAGAACATTACAAAAATAAATAAATCATAGAGGGGGTGTAATATTTTAAATAAATTATTAATAAAAGTTTATTTCAATTTAATTGTATTTTTTTTATTTGAACTGTTTTATTTTTTATTTTTGTTTCAGTTTTAAAAGATTGGCCGATTATGTTCATATAACTCTTATTATCATAATTATTAGTAGTAGTACCATTACTATATATGTTTCTGGCTGCAGTACACCGATCTCACCACTGGGCGTCACTAAAGCGCTTTGTTTACCTTTCTGCAACCCCAGTCTGTGGGTGTGTTACCTCAACAATCGTCCCCGGTTAAACGTCCGGTCCCTTTTAGTTCCACAACACGCATGTTAAACTAGCCGACTTAGCTTCACAACAAAAACAAAACACAAACTGTGGTAACATGAGCGCAGATATTTGTGTTGGAAATGTTTCGGTGCCTTTACGAAATCTCCTGAACTCCATCCGGTGCGTCAGAGACCGAGTCAGAGGTAAATATGACGCATTACAGCATTTATGACGCAGCACGGAGCTAAAGTTAAAGCTAGGCTACATACGAGCCTGTTAGCGTGTTTGTAGTTTTAATTAAACTCTTAATGTGACGGTGTCATGTTGGAGTAACCATGGCAACCGTTTCTTTGCTATAACTGTCAGATATTGTCCTTTAAAGTCTCATTAGCAGCTTTAATATGTAGTACAGGTTAAAGAAGTGAACTCAGTGTTGTAGAAAGTGTTACAGACCTTTTTAAAAACATTTTATTTAACCAGGAAATAAACTCTGAGAGGAGGAAGGCAGGCAGCAGCACAACTTAACAAACTACAAGCCGCCACAAACACAAAGAACAAATAAATACTTTATTAAACATTTAAAGACAAATTAAAGGTTTGTCAGGCTCATCCACAAACACATCAGGGAGAACATCTACAGCCAGATGTGTCATTCAACATCCTCTGAAATCCTCCAATCAGAGCAGAAATTATGATTTCTTCAGAGGAAAGGAAGCTGTAAACTCACACACACACACACACACACACACACACACACACACACACACACACACACACACACACACACACACACACACACATCATTTCTGACTTTTAGGAAGAGGTCAAACAGCTCCAGCAAAACTCGTAGCGTGACGATTAACTTTATTAAGTGTATCTTAAAGGGAATTTCTCTCGCACCGAGAGCGTAAAAAACTCAACACAAATAAATGTGTTCAGGACAGCAGATAAATTAATCATCTGTATCTGTTTGAATCTGAATCGGAGCTGAACTTAAATTGGATCGGTGCCTCTCTAATAACAACAGTGATTGTTTGACAAATTTGACTCAAATGACCCTAAAATAATGAAAAATAAACAAACCGTGTCGCACTGAGAATGACTCTACTGTCACTTTATCGTAAGTGGAGAACACGTTTAGCCTTCCTCAGGTTCGGCCAGGCTAAAGGTGTTGTTCACTCACCGTAGAGTCATCTTCTGCGTGCCACGGTTTATTCATTTTTCCATCGTATGTTCCTGCAACCGACCGGCACCTGAGAGCGTACTGTAGGTCTGCTGTGCACGGGGTACTCTGTTGGTCACCCCAAAAGTAATGTAATCACATCAGCGTGTAATGAAAAGGAACAATTATAATTGATTACAAAACAAGAGTTTTTTTTTTTTGTTTGTTTCCACAGATGGAGAGTCCAACGAGTCCGATGGAGCGTTCAACCTCTCCAACTTCTGGGACACTCTGAGTTGAGTTTATCTTGATCTTGCACTCACCTTCTTCTGTTTCTCTCTCTTTGTATATCAAGTTTCAAATACTATTTAGTCTTCCAACGACCAGTCGAGGTTAAACTTCGCTGCACGCTGGTTTGTGTCGTTTTGTCTGCTGTTTCATCTTATCCTTTCTCTCTGCTATGTGAATGTGTAACAGTCTCTTCTGTCCTCAGACCAGGCGGTGAAGTCTGTGTCCCAGGAAGCCACGAAGCTCAGCCTGGCCTTCTCCAAACCCCCGCTGCCATCGCAACAGGTCAGACGCTTAAACCTCCTGAGAAGTGTGTGAATGTGTAGGTGTGACCTTCGGTGTGAAAGCGCTTTGAGTCATCAGAAGACGAGAAAAGAAAATATACAAGCTCAAGTCTGTTTACCTTTTTTTCTCTTTCCTGGTTTTGATCTGCAGGATGTGGAGAAGTTGTCGGATTCCATGATGAAGAGCATCCTGACTCTCTCTACAGTTTATTACTGGCTGCCTAAGAGCCAAGGTAACGTCATCGACCCCACAGCAGCCGCTCGGCTTCAGTCAGCTCTTATCTAGTCTGATGTCTTACGCTTTTCTCTTTCTTTGTCTCAGGCGTTAGTTTGCGCAGAAAGATCAGAGACGCCACGGGGGAGGTTCTGGAGGGAGTCGCACAGCTGGTGGAGGTCATACTGAGCTCGCCGCTACAGAGGTGAATACACACACACACACACACACACACACACACAGAGTCATCATATTAAGTTTAGATTTTTAGATTGCAAATGAAGAAGAGATGGGTCATAGAGTCGTAAACACAGGCACACACTCGTTTTGGACGCTTCAGTGTCCACCACATGGCAACCTGCGTGAGCATCGACTCTAGAGAGGAGGGGGCGGGGGGAGACAGCGCTCTACAATGTTTAGAATTTAGACTGCAGTACCCGTTTTAAACACTAGGTGTCAGAGTTACATATTGCTCCTTTAAGAGAGGTATTTAAACCCTTTTGTTCTATTTCTCTCGGTTTTTTAAAATCTGTCATCCCGGATCTTTCTTCCTCTTCTTCTTCACGTGCTCGCCTCCAGTCTGACACAGGAACAGTTAACATCTACGGGTGGAGTCTGGTCCGCCTGCGACCAGTTTCCCCAGTTGCCACAAGGTCAGTAAACTTTACAGGATTTTTATCAAAGAGTATTTCCCGCCTTTATGTTGTAATTTAAAGTCACAGCATCAGCTTCAGTGTCTGCCACATGGCGACCTGCGTGAGCATCGACTCTAGAGAGGAGGGGGTGAGGGGAGACAGTTCTCTATGATGTTTAGAATTTGGACCGAAGTACCCATTTTAAACACTAGGGGTCAGAGTTACATATTGCTCCTTTGACTGGAGCAGAGATCGTCTTTTCATGAACATTCCCTTTAAGCCTCGCCTTGATGGCTTTGAAAATGTGTGTGTGTGTGTGTGTGTGTGTGTGTGTGTGTGTGTGTGTGTGTGTGTGTGTGTGTGTGTGTGTGTGTGTGTGTGTGTGTGTGTGTGTGTGTGTGTGTGTGTGTGTGTGTGTGTGTGTGTGTGTGTGTGTGTGTGTGTGTGTGACACAGATAATAAAGCTGCAGTTTTAGTCGCCCTGTCCGATCAGATTGGAGTGGTGAAAGACGCCATCGAAGAAATTGAACAGGTACACACACACACACACACACACACACACACACACACACACACACACACTGCAGAGGACCATACATTGACGTACGTTAAAGTTTGAGATTTTAAGTCTGACGTTAACCATAACAACTACCAGCCTTATCACAACTCTTTTTCAAACCGCAATGAGCCGTTCTAATTTGAAATAGTCAGTCCATCAGAGCATCAGGCCGTCTGAAGTAGTTTGCCGTTTGATCCAGCAGAGGGCGCTCTCAGTGTAACGTGACCATTGCATGACCTCATGTCCTCAGTAATTGAAGACTGGAATGTTGTGGGGCAGCATGATTCAGGAGATCCAGACTTACATGAGGGAGAGTCGTCTCTCTGCAGACAGCAGCGCTCTGATTGGTGGAGAGACAGAGTCTCTACAAACCTGCAACTCTCCAAGCTGGCTCGCAAATATTTGTATGTACTAGGAACGTCTGTGCGCTCTGAACGGGTATTCTGGTCAGCAGGTGTTATTGTAAATAAAAGAGAGCTGCAAGTTGATGGAAGTGAAGTAACATTCTATTTGTGTTTTGAGCTCAGTTGTTCAGAGAAACAAGAATCAGCTGCAGATACTTCTATCTATACTCAGCAGCCTGAAGCTTTACTCTTCAAGAAATCAGTGATAATTTGATCCATTAAGATAAATGTTGAAAGTCGTGCAGGACTACGTGCACCTGTTAACTCATTTACTGACCATCGGCCAGGCGTTATCTGAGGCTCAGGACCCATTCAGTGACGTCCTTGATGACGAGCAGGGAGGAGATGAGCCTCGAGGAAACCAGGACACATACTGGTCAGAGAAGGACCGGCTTGTGATTGGTCCGTGTCAGGGGCTGATGAAGGCGTCGGCGGCGTGCCTGAGAAAACTTACATCGGCCGTCAGAGCCAACGGGGATGTCGGCACGCTGCAGAATCTCGCTCAGCTCGACGACCTGGCAGACATCAGCAAGGAGATCAGCCCGAGGTAGGAACACACACACACACACACACACACACACACACACACATAGAGGGGACAAAGGTCAGACTTGAACCCAGACTGCCTTCGTTAGCTGCCAGAGCAGGCTGTAACATCAGCAGGCTGTAATGACGTTAGCAGGCTGTCACATTAGTAGGCTATAACGTCATTAGCTGGTTGTCACTTCAGCAGGCTGTAACATTAGCGTGCTGTCACGTTAGCAGGCTGTAATGACGTTAGCAGGCTGTAACGTTGTTAGCTGGTTGTCACTTCAGCAGGCTGTAACATTAGCGTGCTGTCACGTTAGCAGGCTGTAATGACGTTAGCAGGCTGTAACGTTGTTAGCTGGTTGTCACTTCAGCAGGCTGTAACATTAGCGTGCTGTCACGTTAGCAGGCTGTAACATTAGCAGGCTGTAACGTTGTTAGCTGGTTGTCACTTCAGCAGGCTGTAACATTAGCTGGCGGTAACATTAGCAGGCTGTAACATTAGCTGGCTGTAACATCGTTAGCTGGCTGTAACATTAGCAGGCTGTAACATCAGCTGGCTGTAACATTAGCTGGCTGTAACATTAGCAGGCTGTAACATCAGCAGGCTGTAACATCAGCAGGCTGTAACATTAGCTGGCTGTAACATTAGCAGGCTGTAACATTAGCAGGCTGTAACATCAGCTGGCTGTAACATTAGCAGGCTGTAACATCAGCTGGCTGTAACATTAGCAGGCTGTAGCATCAGCAGGCTGTAACATCAGCAGGCTGTAACATTAGCTGGCTGTAACATTAGCAGGCTGTAACATTAGCTGGCTGTAACATCAGCAGGCTGTAACATCAGCTGGCTGTAACATCAGCTGGCTGTAACATTAGCAGGCTGTAACATTAGCAGGCTGTAACATTAACAGGCTGTAACATCAGCAGGCTGTAACATCAGCTGGCTGTAACATCAGCTGGCTGTAACATTAGCAGGCTGTAACATTAGCAGGCTGTAACGTCGTTAGCTGGCTGTAACATTAGCAGGCTGTAACATTAGCAGGCTGTAACGTCGTTAGCTGGCTGTAACATTAGCAGGCTGTAACATTAGCAGGCTGTAACGTCGTTAGCTGGCTGTAACATTAACAGGCTGTAACATCAGCAGGCTGTAACATCAGCTGGCTGTAACATCAGCTGGCTGTAACATTAGCAGGCTGTAACATTAGCAGGCTGTAACGTCGTTAGCTGGCTGTAACATTAGCAGGCTGTAACATTAGCAGGCTGTAACGTCGTCAGCAGGCTGTAACATTAGCAGACTGTAACATTAGCAGGCTGTAACATCGTCAGCAGGCTGTAACGTCGTCTGCAGGCTGTAACGGCGTCAGCAGGCTGTCACGCGGCCACCAGCTGATCCCTGCATGATGCTGATGGGGTGAGAGTGGTCAGAGAAGCAGCTTTTGAATTGAAGTGTAACAGCTCTATTCGACTTTCCTCCAGTCAGCGTGACATAATTTATTTCAACCCATGAGCAGATCGTGTGATCAGTGTGGTTGTGTTTGAGTGTACAGCAGCAGGAGGGCTTTCTGTTCCTGCACCGTAAACCCAAAACTCAAAGGCAGCTCAGAGAACAGGTTCAGGTCTTTATGCACTCACACGTTATTTTCCTGCTGTTTGTAGTTTTTAAAATGTAAAAAGATTTCAGAACATCGTGGTTCTGAAATGTTCATCTCCTTTCACTGTTTTCTCCTCAGTGTTGATGATTTGGCTCTCTGCCTCTACCCTCCGATGGATTACAGCGGTGTGGAGAACAATGTGAGACACACACACACACACACACAGACACTCAAACACACAGAGACACAAACACACAAACACACACACACACACAGAGACACAAACACACACACACAGACACTCAAACACACAGAGACACAAACACACAAACACACACACACACACAGAGACACAAACACACACACACAGACAGACACTCAAACACACAGACACACACACAGACACACACACACACACACACACACACACACACACACACACACATCATGAATGCTACAGAAACATACTCAGGAGTTCAGACATCAGTCTTTAGGCCGTCCTCTGTAGTCTGTGATGAGTCATGATTTTCACATCTGGTCTTGTGAGCACGATGAGATTATGGAGAAGAAGAAGATCTGTTTGGATTCTCCTGATGTGCCTGATGAGGATGTGAGACCTCCTGGAGTCTGAGCCGGGTGCTGCAGAGTGTCGTTACAACACAAAATGATGCAACAGAGCGCTGAACATTCTGAAACATGTTTCAAATTCCAAATATTCACACGCCTCCAGACTACTTAAATATGGGTTTTCACTGAGTGTGTCCACATGAACTTTAGTATCCTGGTTCTGAGTCTGATCCTGGTTCTGATCATATTCAGGATCTGGTGTTTACCTGCTCTCAGAGAAACCTGGTTCTTGATCTCCCTGTAGACATGATCAATCCTGCTTTATGATCACTGCGTAGAAATATGAGATTTGCAGGCTCAGCACCACCACGTAGCAGATAAACCAAAAGACAAAAACTCAGCTTCTCCGCCGCTCCAGAAGTAAGACGCTCTTGGAGCTGCCATTGCGTTGTTTTTGCTGACACATAGCTTTGGTTGAAGCTGCACCTGCGCAGGTAGTCGGCAGCTGTCAAAAACCGTCACAATATCTCGTTTTCTGGGTATCAAAATTAGGTTTCTCAAAATCGGGTTTCTTCCCAGTTTCTGAAATTAGAATATGATGTTTACATGCAATACCACAAAAACAGGAAACTTTGGAAGCCTGATCAAAACCTTGTAAACACACTCAATGATTACACAAATCATCACATTCCGTCTTTAATGACATTTTACACATCGTCCCATTTTTTTCTTTTGGGGGGGGGGGCTTTTTGTGTCTTTAATGTAGAGACAGGACAGTGGATAGAGTCGGAAGTCAGGGAGAGAGAGAGAGAGTTGGAATGACATGCGGGAAAAGGAGCCACAGCTGGGATTCGAACCCGGGCAGCCCGCTTGGAGGACCATAGCCTCCATACATCGATTGGCGCACCAACCACTGCACCACCAGCGCCTCAACGTCCGATTTTTGAGGGAACGTGGTCGTGCTAAACGTGTTGACTTGTGGTGTGTTTCTCTGCAGGTGTCTAAACTGGCAGCACTGTTAAAGAAGGTTCTGGAGATCATCAGGTAAGATGTTGCTATGACAGCGAACACTAACCCGTTAAGTCCTGTGTCAGGTTTCATACAAATAAATCAATAAATCTTAAACTAAAAGATGTCTGTACAACGGGCTGTAGACGTTAGCAGACAACCGCTCCTCTGGTTGTTATGAAATGTATGTGAAACAACCGTAGAGGGAGCACAGAGGGAGGAGGGGGCGTGGCTTTAGAGGGAGCACAGAGGGGAGGGGGTGTGGCTTTAGAGGGAGCACAGAGGGAGGAGGGGGCGTGGCTTTAGAGGGAGCACAGAGGGGAGGGGGTGTGGCTTTAGAGGGAGCACAGAGGGGAGGGGGCGTGGCTTTAGAGGGAGCACAGAGGGGAGGGGGCGTGGCTTTAGAGGGAGCACAGAGGGGATTTTCAGGTTGACCAATAACGAGACGGAGATGAGAGCGTTGAGTAAATGTGCCTGGAAACAGCCAATCAGCTAATCGATCATCTGTAAATAAAGTTTGTATTCGACTTTACGGGAGTTTAACTCATTTTGTGTTTGATATCGTGCAGGTCCAGTCACGTGTGCGGGGAATCACAACTCACCTGGGTCCAGTTCTTAGACGGAGCCGTCGACCACAACCTGCAAAAAGCCAAAGAGCTCATTCAAACGGACTGCTAGTGTGTGTGTGTGTGTGTGTGTGTGTGTGTGTGTGTGTGTGTGTGTGTGTGTGTGTGTGTGTGTGTGTGTGTGTGTGTGTGTGTGTGTGTGTGTGTGTGTGTGTGTGTGTGTGTGTGTGTGTGTGTGTGTGTGTGTTAATGTGCCTATAATCAGACTCGTGAAGCAACATGTAAGGGCGCACTCACACTAGTCTTGGTTGTCTCGTCCCGTGCTGAAGCCTCATTGTCCCCCATCCCCCCGCTGGTCTGCACTCACACCCAGACCGGACTCAAACATAAAAAAAGGGACGCACGGTCGAGTCTGCGTCCGCACATCAGAAAACGACACTCTGGGGTTTCTCCTGAATGAAGGCTGACCACGCTATGTTCCTGTGCTTGGAAGGGACGATCACACTAGTCAAACAACCTGGACTTTGGGGGGGGGGGTGAAGCGAAGCGTGCTCGGACACAGTACAGGTTGCCTGGTGCGAGTGCGCCCTATAAGAAGTCTCACAATGTAACTCTGATATATTTAAACTTTCATGCTCCAGGAAGAGTTAAGGTCGCATGAACTCACTGAGGTTTAAAGAATAAATCTTAATAAAGTTGAGAAGCTTTGTGCAAAGTTTTCAGTTGAGTTACTCGTCATTAGGAAGCGTTTCCTCCTCAGGAGCTGGAGGTGTTTCTCACTGTTCACTCAAACTATCGTTTTTACTGCAGTATGAGACGGGACGGGACAGCACCACCTCCTGCACTGTTCTCCTGTTACTCCATATAAACCGGTAGCTTCAGTACTGAACTCCTAGCGCTGCATCGGTCTTTAACCTTTCTGAACAGTTGTACTTTTTGTCCCAGACGGGCTCCGGTTGTTATTCTAAGTTTGTGATGACATGACAGAAAGGATCCCTACAGAGAGAGACCTTTTTGTTTTTAATCACAAACAGCTGTTTGCGGTTTTATTTCGGTGTTTGTGGATTGTGTAAAACAAAAGAAAGTAAAACAGTGAAGACTGAAGGTGCACTTCCTGTAACCAAACAGCAGAGGGCAGCATCCTGCAGTGAATACTCTGGAGATCTGTTAAAGAAAACTGTGCACCTGAAGATAGAGGAAACAGGATGTAAGTATTGATCATGTCTACAGGGAGATGCGGATCCAGGTTTCTCTGAGTCCAGGTAAACACCAGATCCTGAAGATGATCAGAACCAGACCTCACTTAAGAGGAGGGCCTCGGCACTCTGCAGCTTCACTCAACTTTTAATCATGGATCCATTTTAAAGTCTGTATTAGAAAGGAGGACGTTAGTTCCATCCATTATATAGACTGCTATTCCTGTTCGCGGTCGAACTGCCAGCTGTCATTGGGCGAGAGGCGGGGTTACACCCTGGACTGGTCACCAGCCAATCACAGGGCTGACATATAGAGACAGACAACCAGCCACACTCACATTCACACCTACAGACAGTGAGGAAGCCGGAGTACCAGGAGAGAACCCACACATGCACGGGGAGAACAAACTCCACACAGAGAGGCTCCTGTCAGACGGGGATTCAAACCAGGAACCTCCACACAGAGAGGCTCCTGTCAGACGGGGATTCAAACCAGGAACCTCCTCGCTCTGCGGTGCTAACCACTGCACCACCATGCAGCCTGACTTTATATTTAGTAGAAACTGTCCTGAGTTAAAGAGAGAATAAAGGAGAGCAACAGAGGAATGATGAAGGAAGGTGGAGCGACACGGTGAAATCGTGATCCTGATACTGAAGCCATAAAGACCAGAACCAGGAGGGGTCGAGAAGAGGCCCTGACCCTCGGAGGAGAGGTCATGTTTTTCAACCCGTCTGAGTCAAGTCAGAGAGAGATTTACACTGCAACTATTCAAAGCAGCAACATGTGGAGTGTGTGTGTGTGTAGGTCTGTTACAGGGTCAGCAATGAAACCTTTAAATTTATATCAGTGGACTTTCAGCGATGAGGAATCAAAGCCTCGATGAAGAGGTCGTTCTCTGTCCACCCTAAGTTACTGCTGTGACCCTCAGCGCTCTGCAGAAAGGGTTTAAGTTTTCATATAACACATGGGGACCACATGATGCTGCGGCTCCTCCGACTCGTGAAATACAGCAGCGTCAAAACATCAGGATCTAAGCACCCGTGAGATGTCAGGTTCACATGTGGAGGGCTCCACGGAGGACGAGAGAGCAAATGTAAATATGCAACTTAAGGAAAGTGATCAAAGAGGATCTCTGAATGAAGGGGGAACATCCAGTCTACAGGCTTTCTGGGCGCTGGTGGTACAGTGGTTAGTGTGTGCACCCATTGTACGGAGGCTGTAGTCCTCCAAGCGGGCGGCCCGGGTTCAAATCCAACCATTGTGGCTCCTTTTCCGCATGTCATTCCCTACTCTCTCTCTCTCTGATTTCTGAGTCTATCCACTGTCCTGTCTCTCCAATAAAGGCACAAAATGCCCCAAAAATAAATCTTAAAAAAAAAAGGAAAGACTTTAGTTTTAATTTTAGTTCATATTTGACTAATTTCATCAACCAAACCTCGTTCAGATTCTCCACTTTCTCTGTGCGCAGACGTACTTCTTCAAAAACAATACTGCACATGGCGTTCAGTGAAATCATTCAGTAGCTGTAAACATAATAAAAAAGCACTTTCATGGATTTTAAAAATCATATTATGAGCTGCAACTTCATTTAATATCATCTACTCGTGTTCAGGCTGTGTTGGATCTCTGCAGGCCGCCGCCGCCGCCGCCGCACTCCTGCTGCTCAAACGATTCTGTGACGCCTGTTTGTTTCCTGCGACCTCCGAGCAGCGTGCGGCTCCTTTTTTTCCTCCCTTTGCTCTTGTCATGGCAGCGGTATGCAGAGCGTTGCGTGATGCTTCTTTATTTCCCACCGAGATGATTGAGTCAAGCTTGTTTCCGCCTCCCTGACCAGCGCTGACTGAGTCACTGAAACAGAGAACTGATTCCTCCCATGAGCAGAAAATAACATGTTTTCATTGGTTCAGCTGATACCTTTTGGTACGCAGGTATTTAACTTATTTTAACTTTACGGGCATTCCTTCATTTCATGTTTTTGTGGTCTCATTTCAGTTCCTCGTCACCATAATGAGGACATTCTGCGTTTACCGCAAGTTAATTTGAAGCTGTTTTTTAAATACAGAATCTAAGAGGGAGCACATGGCCAGACAATCACACAGGCTGTAGATAAACTCGGGTACGAACTCATCAGGGATGAAAAAGGTGACATGGATCCAAACCCCCTAGGGGGTCGGAAGTTTTTTTTTTAAATATCAGCTTTAAAATGTGAATTTACAGAAGATTTTAGCATTCAGACGCGACTAAAGAAGGAAACAATAAGAAAAACACAATTGCTTGCCCTTTTTATAAATGGGATGAATTTCCATGTTCTACTCGGGTGATGTGATGGGCAGTCAAGTATGACAATATTTTCACATATCTTCTATCATAAAATATATAACATTATCAATATATCTATTTATCTTGCCATTCCCTGCACATACTGTCTCAATTCCCTTTATAGTTAACTTAATCATTCATTTTGTACTTGTATATACCCCCTGTTTTTATTTATGTTATCTAATCTATTCTGTTTAATGTGTATTTTGTATTTTGACCTTACTTGTCTGTGCTGCTGCAACGCCCAAATTTCCCCTCTGGAAATCAATAAAGTACTATCCTATCCTATTTTCATTAAGTTTATATTCCCTCTGGCCTTATTACATGTGTTGACCAGCTGTCACTTTAATGTTGCCTGAGATAATAATGAAGCTGTATGAAGTTACCTTCAAGCTTGCACACATTTCTCTCAACATCTTTATCTATGGCTACCAAACGGTAAATATGATCAGACAGGATGTTTAACAGAAATGCTGGCTTGCTAGTCAGACTTCGAATCTTTCCACAGTGTTTTCATTTCATGCTTCTTGCAGTCGGCGCGGCAATATTGCGCAATCGCGGTTGGCGCGAGAATGGTCCACGGAGGGTCTGAGCGCCCAGCCGCGCACCTCCAAGATTTTGTAACATCGCGGACGGGTTCGTGCCGACCGCGTTGCAAAGATTGGCTATAGGGCCCGGAAGTAGCCTACTTTCTTCAAGTTGTGTTGAGCGCTGAGCGCTCTGACCGCAGTCAGTATTAAACGACTCAACGTTCGCGGGACCGTGCTAGCCGGCTGCAAGAAGCATGACAGCTCGCACCGCAGATTTCATCCGTCCATTATCTTCCACTTATCTGGGGCAGGGTCGCAGTGGCAGCAAGGTAAGCATCCCTCGTCCCTCAACCACCACCCTCCTTGTTCATGCACGGCCTGCTCCAACCTCCACCTCAGCGGGGAGGAAGTGTGGACAACAGGAACGAGAGGAATACAAAGGAGAAATCCTTCCTGCATATTATCCCATATGCTCTTTAGTAAAGCGTCTCAAGGTAACACTTGTTATGAATTGGCGCTCTACAAATAATTGATTGAAGTCGCCCCAGACGTCCCTCTCCCCAGCAACCTTTTCAAACTCCTCATGGGGGATCTCGAGGGGTTCCCAGACCAGAAGGGATATATAATCCCTGCAGCGAGCTCTGGGTCTTCTCCCCAGAAGACCTCAGCTGGCTCCTTGTTCATGTAAACAAATGAAAGACATAATGGGATGATAAGTGCTACCTGTTGGACAAGCAGGTGACAAACTAGCTTGTGCTAGCGTGTGTTAGCTTGCAGTGTAGCTACAAGCAGTAAACGTACACACTATGTCCTGCAGGGGGTGGGCTTCTAGGGGTGATGAGTCCAGGAGGAGGTTTAATATAGTTTTCTACAGTGAGAGGAAGTTTTAAAGCTTGTTGGATTGTCTGACTTTTGTTTGACTTCTGTTTTCCCGAAGCCTAGCATCAGTGCTAACAGGAATGCAACCAACATACTAGAACACCAAACCCTGCAAGTGTGTGAGCTGTGAGGATATAAAGTTAACAACAAACAGGTGCAGAAGAGTTCCCCTCACCTAGCTGTTGTCAGAGGAATCATAATTTACAGTTTGAGAGCAGCATGAGTCACTGACGCCGTGGATACTGAAGATGTTCTGAGGT